TGCAAGCCTCGCATATAACTGGAAGTCAGTTGATGGCATGATCTTGCATGACCAGCCGCCGATGCAGCCTCGAGTCGCTATCAAGTCCTAGTTCACGGTGCCATCGTGAGGATCGCACATGCTCCAACCTAGTCTAGCAGCCTAGAAGATTTGCCAGCTCCTCTGGCGTCAAGGTGCTTTTTCTCCTCTTTGGCCTCCCACTGATTCGTGTCTTGACGGGAGATCTAGGTGCCCGCTTCTTAGGGTTTTCCTCGGACACTTCGGTGCTTTCGTCCGTCTTCTTGGTGGAGATGTCTCCGTCGGTTACAGCGGCTGCTTCCGCGGCCTCTCGTAACTTGTCTTGGACCGACAGCTTCGGCGATCGTTCGTCGGGATGGGCACGTGGGCTCGACAAGCGCTTCTTGGTCTGTCGTAGATTGTCAGATCTGTTGAGGGATGGGTGTGGTGCTGATGGGCTGGAGATTGTGGAGGGAGTGGACGTAGAGGGAAAGATGTCACAACGTACATGGCGTGGTCTGTCTTGACTCGTTGGTCTTGACGCTCGTTCTTCAAAACGAGGTGGTTTGGCTGCAGAGGTTGGCCGACTAGCCTTCTCTGCATCGACTAGATCTATCCCAGACGTGTCTGCGTTCTCCCCGTCTACCTGAGATGGCGTGTTCGGGATAGACGCTGAGAAGGCGACTTTGCGGGGCGATCGACTAGGCGACTTGTTGCCGTTGGTCTCCCTCAGCGCTGGCTGGCTGGGTTGCAACTTGATGCTGAAGACATCGGGCCCAGTTGTCTTGTCTGGTCTCGCGTGTGGCTTGGGTGAGGGCAGGTAGACGGCCTCCTCTTGCTCTTCTGTATTGTCCACGTCTTCTTCTAAGGCTGAGCTTGCAGCTTCCTCGGCCTCGCTTTCTTCATCGATCATGGAGAATCCTTCCCTGTCGACTGTCTCGAACCCTTCGCCAAATCCTAGTCCCATCCTCAGCTCCTCGAGATTGATGGTGTCGCCATTGGTCATGCGCTTTCGCCAGGAGTCCATGAGGAGGAACGACTCGCGCAGCCGCGCCTCCATCTTCTCCCAGCCCGCCCGCAGCCTGTGTATCTCCTCCTCGCGCATCTCGACCTCGTCCACTGCTACAAAGTTTGGATTTGTGAGGAGGTTCTTCAGGTTGTCCAAGACCGTGTCCATGTCGTCGGCGAGAGTCTCGTAGTCGGTAGGCAGCGTGTGGAGCATGTCCTGTTGCGTGTCGTCTTGCTCGTCGCCCGCGACCGAGGCGTCGTCTGCGTCTTGTTTGCGATTGACTTCGGGCATGCCTTGTAGCTCTCGCAGTGTCACCAGGGCGCTCCGCACGAGGCCGATGAGGTTGTCGTTCTCGTCGCTCAAGCTCTGGCTCAGCTGCGTCAAGAACTCGGTCGTCTCCTGCTTCAGGCTGTATTCGGGGTCGTCGACATTGGGCGACTCGTCGCGCGCATGGCCCGTGGCGGCGCCCAAGCCTGTGCTGCCGGGGTTGATGGTGATGCTGGCGCCGACGAGGCCCGTCTTGTTGCCGCGCTGCTGGCTCGTCAGGTGGCTCTTGAGCCGTGCAATCTCCTTGTCGCGCTTGCGCACGTCGTTGGTGCAGCTGGTGCGCACTTGGTCGACCGTCGTCTTGAGGCGCTGCATCTCGGCGCGCAGCTTGCGCGCCGACGACTCGGCCGTGTGCAGGGCTTTGCGCGCCGACTGCTCTTGCGCCTGGGCGAGCGAGAGCTGTCGCGAGAGGTCGGCATTGCGGTTGTGCTGCTTCTCGAGGGCGGCCGTCTGGCGCGTCGACTCGGCGCGCAGGCTTCGCAGCGTGTCGGCGCTGGATTCGCGGTATTCCTGGTCGCGCTATCTGCTCATTAGGACCCTCTCCACCAGAACGTAAACGTGCATGTGCCTACATCGCGCTTCAATATCAGGTCGTGCACCAGGTTGATGATCTGGGCCATGGTGGCCTCTTTCCCCCCTTCTCCCCTCGACGGATGCGCGAACTCAATGGGCGTGCCATTGCGCAACAACCCCCGCGCAAGCAGCAGGTTGTTGATGTACGTCGACGCCGTCTTGAGATTGTACGAGTCCATGGTGAGTGCAGCCGTCGTGGTCGGCTACCGGCGGCGGCGTCGGATGTGGCGGCGTTGTGAGCTTGTCGGCCACTGTTTGTTTATCCCTGGGTTCCGATGCCCAGGTAGGAGGTAGAAGGAGCAACCGAATAAGCACGGACCTACGCGTTCCGATCCTTCCGCCACGACTCCATGCAATGTCGACGTGATACGACGACGTCCACCTTCAGCCAGCCCGTCACAGCCGTGCATGCAGCCTCTTCGTGTCCTTCTCGCATCATCACCATCGTTGCATCCGCCTGCACCCGGCTTTACCACCACTCGCGCTTCAGCAATTATCGTGATTACAAGCGACATACATATACTTCTCTAGCGTATCTGTGCGTGACTCTCGTTTCGCATGGCCCAGAAGTTTAATGCCACAGACGTGTTTTTCCCCTGAGGTCGGACTCGGACTCGGTCCCACCATCAGCGCACCCCACCATGACCGTCGATGACAATTATACGCACTGCTTGTCTGACAAACCTTCGGGTTTCGAGACTGCCAGTCCTGCAATTCGGCACTCAAGTACCGTTTCCAATACTGGGCTCGCCTTATCCTATCCAGGCTAAATACCCATTCCAGCAAACCATATAGTTTTACGACGGTGTGCGTCGATTCCCCTCAAATGTCGGGCCCATTGCCGTAAGCTTCGCAGGGACTCTCACATGATCTGCACTCAATTCCTTATTTCATGCGTCGCCATTGGAGGGGGTTTGCCGTATTTTACGATTCTTCCACGCGACCTGCCCTAGCCATGGTTCTCCCCAGCTTGTGTACATGTGCTGCTCTCTGCATGGCTGCCATGGCGTCCGGAACCAAGACCGGGGACAGCTAAACCTAACGTCGTCGAAGAAGCCCACATTGTAGTACTTAAGGCACATCGCTCATCAAGAGGTGGTCTGTAGGCTGCGTTCGTTCTTCTGCGCTTTCGTCCATCTTTCGCTCGTTCCTTACACTCATTCACTTCCAGACATGGACAAGTTCACCTCTCTCGCTCTTGCGACTCTCCTGTTTGGAGCCCAATCCGCCTTTGCTATTCCCACAGAGGCCACTACCAAAGCGTGTAACGAAATCAACAATGCTCTTCCAGGAAAAGTCCTCACTCCGGGACTTCTCAAGCTCGAATACGCACATGAGACGCAGCAATACTGGGCTACCAATCTCCGCGAAGTCGATCCTGCATGCATTGTTCAACCAGACTCTGCCCAAGATGTGTCCATTGCTATCAAGATCTTGAACAAGTACCCGACTGTCAAGCTTGCTACACGGAGCGGAGGTCACGATCCAAACAAGCAACATGCTGCGGTCCAAGATGGTGTTCTCATCGCCATGACCAATCTAGTCGGAGCGACGTACGATGCAGCAGAAGATGTTGCCTACGTCCGACCAGGAGGTGAATGGAACGACGTCATTGGCGACCTTGAGAAGAGCGGCGTGGCAATCGCTGGAGGACGACTCGGTCTCGTCGGTGTCGCTGGTCTGCTGCTGGGTGGAGGTCTTTCATTCCTCGGTGCTCAAGAGGGTCTTGCAGCCGATGTCAGTTTTCCGCTATATGCAAAGGGCAGCTATGCTAACAAGCGATAGAACATCATCGAATGGGAGACTGTTATGGCGAACGGGTCCATCGTCAACGTCAACGCCGCAAAGCATCCCGACCTTGCGCAAGCTATGCGTGGTTCCGGTAGCCAGTTCGGTATTGTCACCCAGTTCAAGACTAAAGTCCATCACATGGGCGACGTCTGGGGTGGCTCATGTGTCTTCGATGACTCAAAATCCGACGCACTATACGCTGCTCTGCACAACTTCATGGCACACGGTGCCGAAGACCCCAAGGCGGCCATCATTCTTACGGACCTCGTAGTCGCAGCTGGAATCAAGACGAAAATTCTCTTTTCCTTTTACGACAACCCTAAGCCACCTACATCGGGTCCATTTGCCGATTTCTTCAAGATCGTTAACCCTTTGTGTCTACCCAAGACACAAAAGTACTCTGAGATAGTAAGTCTATAATCTAACTTCAATGTGCCGTACAAGAACTAACAATTCCCAGCTGAAGGCAAACGGCGAGCCAGTCCGACTCTTGAACGCCCGCGCATTCTTCCGTACTTATACTGTCCCATACATTGCATCCCGGCCTCAGATGTACAAGGAGATTCGCGACAAGCTTGCTGAACTCACTGGTATCTTCCTCAACACCCTACCTGTCGTTCGCGCTATCCAGTTCAGCGTTGACTTCCAACCTCTTCCATCCCGCTTTGGAAAGATGTCCGAGTCCAAGGGCGGAAACGCCATGGGACTTTCGTCCTCCGACCCTGACCGCATCATCCTAATCTACCAAGGAGCGTGGAACTTGCCCACAGACGACGCTCTTGCGTTTGGCATCGCCAGGGAATTGACGGCTTGGTTGGACAAGGTCGTGCCTCAATGGATAGCAGAAGCGGGTATGCCAAGCGACATGTACATGCCATTGTTCATCAACGATGCCATGTGGGACCAGCCAGTTTTCCAGAGCTACAAGGATTACAACAAGTTTAAGGCATTACAGAAGAGTGTTGACCCGAAGGGCTTGTGGAGCACCAGGGCAGGAGGCTTTAAGTATTAGGTCCTTGTCGCCAGCGTCATTATTATCTAGTACATACGATAATGTGTATTTTAAATGCCATCGTGTCAATCGCATCTTTCGCACGCTTGCTGCCGTTAGTCAGTCGCATCCTGGGAGCAGAATAGGAAGGTGTTCTTGAAGCAGCGGGGCCACTATACTGAAAGCGGGGTAGTCGTACCTAGGTGTCTGACTCCATCACTACCAGTATGACTGTCTTGCATACATGTCGACTACAAAAGCTTTTCCATCTTCTTGTCTCGCCGCAAATTTTCTATCTACCACCAGGGCATGATGGCTGAAACACTCCAGTTCACCAGCTACGAGCATGAAGATGCCTGGGACGTGAATTGGCTGCGCGTGGATGACACCCATGAACTTTACTATCAACAGTTTGGCAAGAAGGACGGAAAGCCTGGTAAAAGTGCCAGCCATGTTGTCCAACTTTCCTGATAGTTAACGCTTTGCAGTCATCTACCTCCATGGTGGGCCTGGCGGGAACTGCTCCAAAACCAACACCGTCTTCTTCAACCCCTCTGAATACCGAGTGGTTCTGCTCGACCAGCGAGGCTGTGGTCAATCGCGCCCTAATGCCAACACAACAAACAACACTACTTGGCATCTCGTCGAAGACATCGAAAAGCTGCGCAAGCATCTGAAGTTTTCCAAATGGCACATGGTCTTTGGTGGCTCCTGGGGATCCACACTCGCTCTAGCATATGCGCAAACACACCCCGATAGTGTAGGTAGTCTAGTCCTGCGCGGCATCTTCACCGTGCGAGACATCGAACTCAAGTGGACCAACCATGCAGGCGGCGCGCAAATGCTGTTTCCCGACCGCTGGGAGGACTTTATCAAGTTTTTACCAGAGGAAGAACGTTCCGATCATATCGGCAACTACCACAAACGCCTCATGTCTTCGGACTCGTCTATCAGTCATCCCGCGGCTGAGGCGTGGAACACGTGGGAGCTATCAATCAGCACCCTGTATCCTGACCCACACGCATACAAGAAACTGAAAGAACCAGCCTATCTGCTCGCACATGCTAGGATGGAGATTCACTACTTCATCAACAAAGCATGGATGGAAGACGGGCAGCTGTAAGTCTTGGCTTTACGGAAGCAGACGTTTACTGACTTCGTTCTGCAGGCTGAGGAAGGAGAACGTGGACCGGATCCGGAACATTCCGACGACCATCGTGCAGGGCAGGTACGATGTTGTCTGCCCGCCGGTTACAGCGTGGGAGTTGTACAAGCAATGGCCGGAGAGCAAATTGCACTTCATAGACGACGCTGGGCACAGTGTTATGGAGCCCGGGACGAGAAGGAAGTTGACTGAAGTGTGCGATGAATACGCGTCTCTCAGCGTCTAGCCCTATGCAGCCGCGGAACCCGTGTTAGGCTAGCGTTATTGTGAGACATCACGATCCGATGAATTTGACGGAAAATTAAGCCGTGCTTGAGTATCACAGCTTTGGTTTTACGGGCCGTTTATGTGTTGGCTGACTAACGCCAAGACTGCCTGCTAAAGCCCCGAAGACTGCTGGGGCCCGCGCAAACGTCGCACGCAGCACCAGCAGTCTTCATTCTATGAGTGACGTAATGGACCATGGCTACGACCGCGCCCATCTCGACCACGACGCCACCCGCAGCTATCGATAACCACGAACGGGTACGCGCATACGAGATCGCCGCGTGAGAATTGCCAGTCGACGTCACATTGCCGATTCCTGTTGCTAACACAGCCCTAGATATCTCTCTGCCGCGTCGTTCCCCTTCCACATCGCAGAAGGACCGCCGTCCGAACCAGTCCCCAGCAGCGACATAACCCTCAACGCCCTCGTCCAGCATGGCGTGCACAAGATGGACTGCGATCGCGCATTCCTTTCGCTCATTGATAATCGAAATCAATTCATATGCGCAGAGATGACGAGGCACCAGTCGCTTTCGAGTGCAGACCCGGCCGAGCCGCTCTTGCTGGGTACTTCCCGAATCGCCCTCGAATGGGGCGTCTGCCCATTCACCATGTGCATCTTCCAGGGCAAACCAGTGCCTATGCCGGAAAGTCCCTACATCATTGCCGACAAGTCGTATTTCTGCATCAAAGACTTTCGCCAGGTTCCCACATTTGCCGAGCGCCCGTTCGTGGCTGGCTACCCGCACATGGTTTCATACCTCGAGATACCGCTGTTTGCAATGTCTGGGCACATATTGGGCAGCTACTGTGTTGTTGACACTAAAGAACGGGACTTTCTGCATCCCAAGTCTCTGAGCACTCTTCGCGAAACTACCTCGGCTATCAGTGCATACCTCGATATGCGACGCGCCGAAGCTTGTAAGTCTCGATCTGCTGAGATGATGCAAGGTCTTCGCCGCTTTGTGGCTTCAGATGACATGGTTCCAAGGTCTGTGGCCCCTGTGCGCTCTGGAGCTCACACAAGCCAATTCGACCTAGATGTTTTTGGCGCCGCCTCGCGAAGAAAACCTGACAAGAAGCTATCCGACGGCATGAATGCAAGCGTCACCATGCCAGACCATGTTCAGTCATTGCCTGTTCGCGATGCATCTGTTATCGTTTCGCCCCAAGATAATGTCTCAAAACGGGTCAAATCTGACTTTGCTACTCAAGTCGACACGCTCTTCATGAAAGCCGCAGATAGTATTGGCGATGCTATGGGTCTGGATGGCCTAGTCTTCTTTGACACTGTTTCAACTGGCACCCGAAACAAAGGTTGCCAGGTACGAGACATGTCTCCTGACAATACATCTTCGCCAACATGCGATCTCTTTGCGGTACCTCTGTCCTATTACCACAGAGATAACGCCCCCGGACAGCTGAAATTGCGTCAGTCGCTCATCCAGCGCTTGACTGCCAAGTACCCTCGAGGGCATGTCTTCGCAGTCGATGAACATGGGGTCTTCCAACACGATTGCGATGACGAATTTGACTCTGCTGCGGATGACAGATGGAATGACCTCTTCAGTTTATTGTCAAAGACCCGCTACGTCATATTCCTGCCTATGTTTCACTACTCAAGAGAAGCTTGCTACTCTACCTGCCTAGCTTGGGTATCTGACACAGGCAAAACACTTGATACTGGCGATGTCAATTCATTGACAGCTTTCGGTAACTCACTGATGGCTGAGGTCTTTCGCTTAGAAGCATGCGAAAATACACTTTCCAAGTCGGATTTTGTTTCGACCATCAGTCACGAGTTACGAAGTCCCTTGCATGGCATTTTGGCCAGCATTGAGCTGATCCAGGAAAACTGCCAGGGATCTGGTTTGATGTCCGAGATCTCCATGATTGAGTCTTGTGCGGTTACTCTTCTCGATACATTTGACCATCTGTTGGAATATTCCAAAGTGAATAGCCGCGCCAGCGTTGGACAAAGAGGCGGAAATGGACATCCTCGTTCTACCACCCACGTTCATCACGGTGCAGTAGCTGTCGACTTGGCTTCTATGGTCGAAGATGTCATTGGGACTGTTTCCGTAGGTCATGACCATTCTTCGCGCCTCTCTTCTGGACTCAATAAAGAGCGTCAAGATTCGTTGGCTGGATCGCCCGCAACGGCACAATCCGAGCCTGTCGTCGTCACCACACACATTGAAAAGGCCCGTGATTGGACCTTTGTCATTGACAAGGGTGCTTGGAAGCGCATTTTACTTAATGTCGTCAGCAACGCATTGAAGTATACCAAGTCGGGTTACATTCACGTAGGTCTAGCATTCGTGGAGGCTGCCGATGACAGTCAGTCACACATCAGTCTTTCTGTGACCGACACGGGTGTAGGCATGAGTGAGGATTTCCTCAAATACCATCTCTTTACACCCTTTACTCAGGAGAATCTACTAAGTCCAGGAACTGGGCTAGGTTTGAGCTTAGTGAAAAGCATCGTGGAGTCACTACACGGGACTATATCAGTCTCTAGTCGTTTGGGCAAGGGAACGAAGATCATCATCAACATTCCGGCTAGTCAAACGGCGCAGAGACCAAATGCGCCACGTGGCGAGAGCGTTTCCTCTCACGAATGCCTAAGCGGAAAAGCAATCGGTATGCTCAGTCTCTCTCTATCCGAAGAGCAAGGCAAAGAATTTGCACCCTCTATCGATTCGCCCCCCGAAGCGCTGGAGCGGGCCGTTCAAAATATCTGCGAGGATCGCTTCGGCATGAGGTTCACCACTATTTCCACAGACACACTCCCGGTTCTGGATGTACTCCTCATCGATCACCATGCTCTCTCTTCGACACTCACGTACGACTTGAAAACTTTGTTCCCTACTTATACGGGAGGGACTTACCCGGTCATGGTCGACCTGCGCAATATTAAAGGCGCACCTCCCGAATCTGGCACTAGCAAGCCCATGCACACAGTACTAGTCACTGCAAACTCGCTCGGACCTGCACTCACCTCGGCTGTGAAGGATGCCACTACCAAGGAGATGGCAGACTCGGTGCCGTCCATAGAAGTCAGAAGCAGACCTGACATGGAGCCAACAGAGCAATTAGAACATGCCGACATAATCCTAGAGCCAGACCCGCAAACCAAAGTACTTCCACACCGCAGCTTATCGTTGCAGCGTGTGACACTAGCCGACGCCGCCACAAGTACTGCTCTACAAGCACCATTACCAACACAACCACCTACCCCGCTTACAAGCAGCCCAAAATGCCGATTCCGCCGTCTGCTCTTGGTAGACGATAACCCCATAAATCTAAAAATGCTTTGCGCCTTTGCAAAACGCCTCGGCGTACCGTATTCCAGTGCCACCGACGGCGCAGAAGCGGTGCGTCTCTATCAAATCGCCACTGAGCAAGAAGACCCAAAAGCAAGCTATGACTGCATCTTCATGGACATCAGCATGCCAGTTATGGATGGCTTCCAGGCCGTGTCAAAGATTCGTGGAATCGAACATGGTTTGATGGAAAAAGACATACCAAGACAGTCCGATGACGCTGCGAGACATGGTCTAGATGGTACTCTAGAGGACGAGAGAGGTATCCGGGCGTACATCTTCGCATTAACCGGTCTTGGTAGTGAGAAAGCGCGAAAGCAAGCGAAGAATAGCGGTTTTGACGAGTTCCTTCTCAAGCCAGTGAGGTTCAAAGACGTCCTACCGTTGTTGGCACGTCTGCCGACTGCATGAGGGCTATGGGTCATCTGTCACATCGAATGCAGACTTCGTTATGGGGGCGTTGGTTTCATTTAGTCTATGTAACATGCTGGCGTTCAGATTCTGGGGAAGCTCTACTAAGAGCATAGGATGTAATAACGATCTTGGGGGTGAGGCTTCCGGTAGCACCGCTTGCTCAACATACGAACAATTTTAGACCAGTGACAACATTGTAAGTATGCGCTACTCACACTGACAGCTGTCTTGCAGTGACCTAAGGGCAACCGATGTTGCCTTGGCTAGCCTTCATCATATCTGTCAGTGTTTGCTTTTCTGTGTCTTATAGCAAGGCGCTTGCAACTCGGTTCAACCCCTCCGACGGCAGCGAGAGGAGCTACGAAAGCCCGCTCTATAATTGCAAAGAACGAAAAAGTAAAGAAACACGGACAGGAGGCTGAAAGTAGAAGGTGCCGTTCTGCTTGGAGGACTAGGAGCTTAGCCTCGACCAAACATCTATAATGGTAGATGCTGTCATGCGGAGGCGCCTCACGACTTCGTGACGCCTGAGGGATAGAGAGCTGGATCGCATTCTTGTTGGCGGAGCTCGATATTGAGGTGACGTTGTGGCGCCGTCACATGGATGAGGACTGTCTCGTCTATGGTCTTTGCTTGACGTTTGTTGGTGCGTTAATGATGGGGTTGGAGTCTGAGCGCCTAGTTGAGGACTACCCAGGCATGTTATATGCACACGCACTTGTAATTGAGGTTCATGGCGAGTCTTCTACTCACTGCTGTACGTAGCCGTAGTCTGTCTGGAGGTCTGTAGAAGTACGGCCGACTTCACAAAAGACTGGCTCGTACATGAAAGAAGCCAGTAAGAATCAAACAGCGTATTGAGCCCGACTCGGTACAACATCAAAGTGAGTGCTGCCCAGTGGCGTCAGGATGTGGAGTTTAGCGTTCTGTGCCAAAGCCTTTCGCCTAGGCACGCGCAAGTTACATGGCAGTGCAGACAGTACGGAACACCCGGCATCGTGCTTTCTACTGGTGTAAATTGCCAACGTGCTTTTTCGTTTTCGTTGCTTTGTTCATGGAGGCTATTTAGGAGTTTGGTAGCTTACAGGGTTGGTCACAACGGTCGCGAGTGAATACCCGCAGCAAATGCGCCTCTGCAATTAGTTGGTGGTTAAGCACAAGCTGGCATCACATCAAGTACGCCGGCAATATACCGGTGGTTTTTGCGGCTAATGGTGTTGGCCTAAGGTACGATCTCACTAAACTTTGAGCTGACGTAGCTATCTGGGAAGGATCGGCCGATTTATACCTATCTGGACATTCACTCTTAATCCCATGTCTCTCATTTCCTAATCGACATGTGTTGAGTATTCCGGTCGCTACAAATCAGCAGAAATTGTGCAGCGAAGTCGCCGAAGTTGAGCTACCATGAGAGCACAGGAGCTAGCTCCTCGCCAAAGTATAGGAGCTGTCTGTACGGCTAGTGTCGGCGAGCGTCCGCGACTCAGCGGGCTCGGCATTATTCCGAGCCCTGACTTGGACAAAAGAAACAACAACACATCAGCCGGACCCTTTGTGTTGCTTTTGGCGGACCGCGCCACGCAGCGAACATGTCGCATTTCCCTTTTCCAGGTAGTCACCTGCATGCCGTTGTACATTATGAGACTAGATTGCCATCTACACGAGGGGCAACAAAGGCCTCCACGTGACTTGGCATTGGTTGCGGCCGCTCCGGACACGGAAAAAGCAGATCTGCATAAGGCTCGGCGACCCTACTTCGTTGCTGGGATTTCTGACTGGACGATCGTAGGTGCCTGCTTTTGCATGTTCGGGCGGCTGCATCATCGCACTGATGTTCGACGGCTACGCCCGCAGAAGGATCGCCGACCCGTAGATACCGCTACTACACTACACCCTTTCCAGTGGGGCGCCGCTTGCCAACAAAGAGCTACTAACTGAACAACCTCAGCTGAACTCGGGCACGTCGACAAGAAGCCTTGTTCACAGAAGGTAGCGATCTACTATGCTACTGCAAGGCTAATCTTGGCGCGGTGAAGCGATCGGGGTAGTCTGAGCTCACCCTACAAGTTGGGAAGTGACTTGAGCCCCTTAGCCCTGAGATCGGTTAGTGCTCTCTACCCAATACGGCGTCTCTTGATTCACTGGGAGTAAATTGTTGATCATGTATTAGACGAGAGTAGTGGGAATCGATGATCGCAATGCCATGTGCAGATTCAGCCGCAAAAGCCCCACTCGGCGATGGATTATGACAGATCTCTCTGCCAGAGACGAGTTTGGTAGACCCTGTCGATAATCACTGTGAGGTAACATCAACCACAATACTGAGAGCAGAGTGGTTACCGACGATAGTTGAAAGCTGCTTCAATATGATGCGATAAAACATGTCAACTCATGCCATACTCCGATCAATGATCTTTTAGGATCAACGTCCAAGAACGTTTTGTCAACTGATTCAGAGGCCTACATGCAAACATCTGCGTGTGTTCGGTCAAGGCAAAGTGGGTTGTAGTGCATAGCCTCACCTGTCATTGAACTTTGTTCTTTCGATAGTAGCGTACGCTACACCACCCACCTTCTGGGTTATGGGCTTGATTGGCATTTCAACGCGGTGTCCAGGAGGATCAGCGAACCTAGTTGTCGTTCAGGACTACGGGAGGCATTTGCTCTGTTGACTCGAGCTTGGCTACATCGCACGTCGGGTATAAAGACACCGCAGTCTCCCATGAAAAGAAGGTATCGCACACCTTCATCTGCAATCATCACTCCTCACTTCTACCATCTACCACCAACAACCGCTTTCACAGCTTCTTCCCACCGCAATCATGGTCTCATTCCGCAACTTCTTCACCGCCGCCTTGGCCTTCTCCGTGCCCATCTCCGCTGCAATCACGCCTGCTGAGGTTGTCACCAACATTAAATCTATTACGACGAAGAGCATGGCGCTTCAGGCGCCGGCCAAAAGCGTCACCATTATCAGTGGACAACTGCTCCTCGTCGGTCAGGGACCATTCCCCGAGATCATTAGGGGCTTCGCAGACATTGTAACTACCGCCACCACCGCCATCGCTCAGATGCAGGGCATGCCCAAAGAGCCCGCAGGCGCTTCTACTGATGCCGTCTTCGAAGCCTTCCGCGAAGTGAGTACCATCTGTTCCACAGATATTCATGTTGCTTACGACGAGAAACAGTTTGTCCGAGTTCATCAAGCGCTGCTCAACATCCTCATTGGCAAGGCCGGTTTGTTCAGTACTGTCCCTTTCGTCGGTGCGCCCGTTACGGCTGTACTCAGGCAGATCGAGAAGGTCGTTGATGTAAGTCTTTCTTCTCTTGTAGTTTTCACGCCTAGCGCCCGCTCCGATACTATCTGTTGAACTCGAACGTAATTCCTTGAGTCTGCTCGCTAACAGCCCTTCGCAGACGATTGCCTTCATGTTGATTGATACCTTCGAGGCCCGCGCCGCAGACTTCAAGGATGAAGCAGGTGCCCTTTCCGGAACTCTTACTGTTTGCATCAACCAGTACCAAGGCATTACCACCGGTATCACCAAGAGGAACCTCAGGTTCGCGCGCCGCGAGATGGTCGCTGCTGCTTAGATAGGCTTTCAACCCAAAGATGACCAGGCGGAAAGCTCTCGGAGGTGAACGAAATCTGTGGATGGAGTAGGGGAGGAATGTCGATGACGATGGGCAGTATTTGTAGAGCCTTCAAAGGTCTCAGGACAGTCATTACCACATGGTTGGCCATGTTTCTGTTTGATAGTTGCCCTTTACGGTCGATCGCATAGTTAATGTAAAGTCACTTTCGTCCAAGAGTCCACCATCACGATATGAGTGTTTTGCATCTATTCCTTGCCTCTGCGCATAAGTCGTAGGAACTTGTCACTAGCGCTCTTCTAACACCTCTCATCTCGGGTACATCTCTCTATGTTTGCTACTCAGCAAGCGCCAGCGCACTTGCGGGACGTCTGGCTGCTGACGTCGATAGAAGCGCCGGGAGACGGGTGGACACATCCTTCGGGCCATGGGTCCTTGAAGAGAAGCCAGCGAAACAAGCATGGATAAACAAAGTCTTCATATCTAGTCTCGGTGATGTTTGGAGCAGTTTGTGGGCGGAATGCCTGCTCAAGTGCAGGTGAAGAAAGAGCGACACTCTCTTCTGGCCTAGCGCGGTGACATCATCCCTTCCACTCTCCTTGGGTGCTCCTCTCTTCATTCCTCTGTACATTCACCCAAAGAACACAATGCGTATTCTCTAGGTTCAGTCGTATTCTTTCAATACATGCTCGCGTACTGTTACCAGTGCGCGGCTAGCAGACAGATATGAGAGCGCAGGCTAAATTCTCATAACCGTAGCTCGTAGAGCAACCCAAGAATAGTCGACAATATTCACTGGTGGTCTGACCAAATCATGTAGTCATCGTTGGTGCACGGACAGGCTTTATCACCTAGGCAGCGGCAGCTTTTGACCTCGGGGCTACAGCAACTCTGGCTCTCCACGTTCAGTCAACATAAACCCACTCCTCAACCTACCATCATTTGACTGACCCTCTGGAGACCATATAGGACAATCTTCCTGATTAGAGCACCAGCGAAAAGACAAAATGGACTTGATCGAGCTTCCAGTAGAGCTCCTCAGCCGAGTATGTCGCTTCCTCGGACGAGCATCGGGTACCAACAACAACAAGTATTCATACAAGAACAGAGACTTTGGATCGCTGCGATCGACATGCAAAGCCATATACGCCAGGACCGAGTTCGACGCAAGCATTCGGTACGGCCTCCAGGAATGCCGCTTTTATCTCGAGCCGTCGTCGCTTGCTCTCTTCCTACACTTGTCCCGTATCCCCGCCTTCCGCAATCGAATGGCGCGCATAACTGTATGCCCGCTCAAAAAACCCAAGACGATAAGCGACTACGAATGGTATCTGCTACACGAGGACGAGTACAGCTTTGTGAGGTCCGGTGAAGCCGCCTATATGCTCGCCCAATGTTTCCGACAACACCAAGATGCGGACTCTTTCATGGAGCTAGAGCTACCCTTTGGGACTCATATTTTCAGTGAACAGACAACTGTGCTGCGAGCACTGCAGCTGTCGCAGTTTCCAGAGAAGATCGCCTATGTCTACCTCTGGTTGGAAAACTCTCAGAAGCCCGAATGGGCGCTGTTTGCAAACTCATTGTCGGAATTTCGACCTTGGATCATGAAAGCTGTCTTCTTAACACCAAATGCATACGGCAAAGATGTTGCGAAGAGTCGCGAAGTTGGAGCTCACATCAAGAATGTGCGCCCGGTCCATCCCGATGTGTTAGAAGTTGTTGCTGCCACTACTAGTGTTGAACGCCTACAGATCCTAGGATGCAGCGGAGTTCCAGAGCTTCGGATATGCCATGGCTGCGAAAGTCTATTCTCTACACACATGATGGCCCACTCGTACGAGCATTTGCAGTCACTAGAGCTTTCCGATCTGTACCTAAGTGGTAGTCGACTCCGAGGATTTCTCAAGCGCGCCGAGAAATTGGTGTGGTTCGAGGCAACAGAAGCAACGTTAACGGACGGATCATGGAAGTCAATTTACCAGAGATTGAGGAAGCTACCGCTCTGGCATGTCTACCTCGGTCGAAATTACCAGAAACGCGGGCCTCTTACACCAGCCGTACTTCCTCACGCTTGCCGTGACGGCCACGCAAACAAGGGCAGGAAAGGAGCCTACCATGACAATATCAACGTGCTACTCGATGCTATGATAACGTACTTTCACGTTTGTCGCGTGCACAGAGAACAGGAGTATCGTGGTCCGAAGTACTTCGAGGTCTGCTTCTTCGATATTCCGGGGTTGTTTAGAGATGTTTATAAGAGCGACATACAGAAATATGCTGTAGAGGTAGAAGGGAACTGAAACATCAGAGGCAACATCCATGACAGCTTGTGGTTTGGGTAGCAAGACCACCCTGTTGAGTAAAACGCTCAACATGAGATCTGTGAACTGCTGAGCAAAAGGCCGCTTGGTTTCAGCTGTTCATTATGTCACTGGCATGTGATGACGCGGCAATGTTGTTATATTTGATACATTTGATCTCACTGGGGTTGAACCGTTACTTCATAATACATACATGGATCAGTCGTTGAGACCTGATCAGACCACTTTTACACAACACCGTACTCATGCTTTCATCTCAGTACCAGCACCTCAAACTCCCCCAACCGACACAAGACTCTTCTTACTTGCTAATATCATCGCCCCAGACCTGCTTGGCAATCTCTACACTCAGCTTGACCTTAGCCCATTGCTCCTCCTCCGTCAACTCGTTACCCTCAGCTGTGGAGCTGAATCCACACTGGTGGCTCACGCAAAGCTGATCGAGACCCTTGGGGGCAATCTTAGCCGCCTCATGTAGCCTCTTGATGATCTCCTCCTTGTCATCTAGGGTGTTCTTCTTGCTGCTCATGACACCGAGCACAACGACCTTGTGCTCGGGCAGATGACGCAGCGGTGAGAAGTCACCAGATCGTGCATCGTCGTACTCGAGGAAGTAGGCGTCAACGTTGAGTTCCTTAAAGAGAACTTCGGAGACGGGCTCGTAGCCGCCAGAGGCGAACCACTTGGAGCGGTAGTTGCCACGGCAGAGGTGGATGCCGATCTTCATGTCTGCAGGTCGCTTCTCGATGGCCTTGTTGATGAGCTCGGCGTATTTGCGGGGGAGGGTGCTGAGGTCTTCGTTGCGTTCTTGCTCGGCGGCTTTGCGCATGTCGGGGTCGCACAGGTAGGCCAGGTTGGTGTCGTCGAGTTGGACGAAGCGGCAGCCGGCCTTGTACAGGCTGTCTAGTTCCTCCTGGTATACGCGCGCGAGGTCCTCGAAGAAGACATCAAGGTCGGGGTATGCGGAGATGTCGATCGAGGCGCGTCCACCACGGAAGTGCACCATTGTTGGCGATGGGATGGCGACTTTTGTGCTCGCCTTGCCGCCATTCTCTTTGATCGCTTGCTCAAGGAACTGGAAATCCTTGACCTGAATGGCCTCGGGGTGGGCCAGCTTTCCCTTTACGACCAGCGTTGGTGGCGAGAAGCCATCCTTGTGCCTGATGTTTCCCACTTGACCCTTCTCCTCGATACCTTCGACGTGCTTGAGGAAGTCGAGATGGAAGTATGCGCGGCGGAACTCGCCGTCGGTTATGGATCGGAGACCGCTCTCTATTTGCTTCTTTGCGACGTGTTTGATGTGTTCGTCTTCGACATTGCGGAGCTCGTCGGCGGTGATCTCACCGTTGGCTGCCTTTGTACGCGCTTCGAGGACGGCTTTGGGGCGGAGGAAGGAGCCGACGTGGTCGGCCCGATATACACCAGTGGGAAGAGGCATTGTGTCTAGTTCTGTACGACGGTTAGCATGCTGTGGCACTATCGCGGCATCAACACTTACATGAGATATTGTGGTTTTTGCTATGCAATAGTTTGTCCGTCAGACACAATGATGCTGTAGTTTGGCTAGAGGCTTAGCAATAAGATGACGAGACGGGACGCATCTGCCGAAAATTCGTACACGGCCTCGTCGGTTCTCCATCGCATAACGACCCGTCCACGTCTAATCATGAAGCTAGTGGGCCACGGCAGTTACAATTTTGGGGCTAAGACCCTGAATTGGGGGCGCCGAGGAATAGCGGGCGCGGGCAACTTGCTCCGAAGGGAAGTCACACCGCCGGCGAAGGCTTGTAGGAAACATCAAACGCAGGCAAAGACCCTGTGTACATGAGACGCTCGCCATGGGAAACTTATCCCGTGGTAGATAGTGAGTAGTGCCGGTGGCTGTCAGCTCTGCAGCTTCTGGACCTGGAGGGGTTTGCATGACGTTCGGCGGGGTAACCTCACCAAACTCCAGTTCGCGACACCACACTCGGATTCACGGACCGTGCACATACCCAAAGGTCAAAAGTAGATGAAATTGGGTATATTGAAAGATGTACGATGAAGCAAGATAGAGGGCGTTACATGTGGCCGATGACCATACGAATGGTCGACCAAACAACGACACATACCTCGTGGTGTCACTTATGCAGCCTTCACAAGCTTCGCTTCTAGAAGCTCGCCAAATGAGCCTTCCCACAAGCCCTCCTCCTCGTCGTCCTCTTCCATGAGGAGAGCGTCGGCCGCGTTGTAGATGCGATTGCCCTTGCTGTCAAACTTCTTCTCCCTCTTTGGGAGATCGCGCAAAGCAATCTTGAGCTGGATCGTACCCGCGCCAGGGCCTGAGTCGCCTTCTTGCTCTACAGTAGCTGTCTTGTATCCGCTAATCTCGGGTGTAACAGTGACGGGATTCACAGTAAAGAATTTGCAGGCGATGACAGCACCGACCTTCATGTCGGACGACGTGAGATCTGGCAGGGTGCTCATGTCTTCAGGAAGTGGTGGCAGATCAGACTGCGCAGCCATTGCAAGATCTTGACGCAGCTGGTCCTCGACGGCTGCGTTGATGGACTCAGAGTCGGGGTTCGTTGTGGGAGCATCGTCGTAGTCTAAGATGATCTTCTCTTCCTCCTCCTCCTCTTCTTCTACTGGCGTTGCCTCCTGCTGCACATTACTCCGCCTCTTTTGCTTCTTTTTCTTAGCTTTGTCATGCATAAGCTTGCTGGCTGGGTCCCAGTGCTGCTGAAACGGGAAGGGCGGAGCGCTGAGCTCAAAGTCCTCTTCCCAGCATTCAAACGCCGAGAGGCTGATTCGGGTTTTCCAGAAATCGGGGTTTGACCACTCTTCAGGCTCAGGTGTCGGTGCCTTCGCTTTTGTCTTCCGAACAGGCCCAGCCTGTCGCGCAAGTATCCGACCGATGGCGCGGGTGTCTGGTCGCAGTCTTCTGGAGGTAGGCTCTTTCTTCGCCGGTGGCTCTTCTTCCACTAGGGTAGTAGTGGCTTGCTCAACGACCGGAGCCGTTGGCTGCATGGCCTCGTCCGCTGGTGCCGTCGCTTCTGTGCTGTCTCCGAACCTCGCCATCAGGTCCCGTTTCCTTCGCTCCAGCTCTGTTGTGTCTTCCGCGACCTCCTCTGCCGGCTCATCTTCGTCTAATCGTTTTCTCTTGCCTTGGGATTTGGCAAAAGGTTGTGTGTGTCGAGGTTCTTCCTCATCCAGACCATACCTGCCGTCTTCGTAGGCGGCCAGGTCATTGAACGTAGCGGTTTCGGGAAGCTTGCCCGACGCCTTGAGACTACGCAGACGATTAGCTCTTGTACGTCGCGAGTTCCTCAGCTTTGTAGCTTTGAGTCCATCTCCGGGGGGTACATGCGTTGTGGCTGCTTTGGTCTTGCGACCGTCTTTGGAAGACAAGACGTCGGGCGGGGAGCTTGCGTCGCTATCGTCGGAGTCGGAGTCGGAATCGCTCGAGGTGTCTGTCTCTGAATCTGAATCCGATGCATCTGAAGCGCTAGACGACGCGTCCGAGTTTGCCTTTGCCGTTGCCGTTGCGTCTGCCTCTGAGTCTGAGTCCGAGTCCGAGTCTGAGTCCGAGTCGTCTGAAGAGGACGCCTCCTCCTCTGCTTCTTCGGGTGCAAAGTCATCATCATCTTCCTCGCTGTCGTCCGAATCATCAATTTCGGGCTGCTCGAACTGCACCGACTTGACTGCCCGTTGCGCCCTGGATGCTTTATTTCCCGACCCTTTGTGACCGCTCAGCGTCGCAACATCGTCGCGCGCTTCGGATGGTTCTCCATGCTCTGTAAGAAGGCCCACAGCTTCAGTATCGTCGTCCGACTGCCCACCGTCCAGTCGGCGTCGTTTGCGCGGAGGTATGCGAACAGCAGGTCGATTTGGTTGTCGCAGGTAGGGTCGACCGAAGGGAACGCCATCGACGAGATGTTGGCCTCCATCTGATATTTGATCACGGCCGGTGAGGGTGCGCGCGCGTACTTCGGCAGTCATGAGTGGGCGGATGCTGGTAGGCTGTTAGCAGATGTTAGGCTAGAGATTCTAGAATCACATACGAAACATGATCGTCTTCTTTGAGCGCATTCGTGACGGGCATAAAGTGCAGGCACTCGAAGCCGCCCACCTCGACGACATAGTGCTCCAGGCCCCAGTGCTCGGCCTCTAGCGGGATAATGTGGTTGACATCTTCGAGCAGACGCGTAATGGTGTATGCCTGCGTGCTGTTCGTTTCAGGCACGCTCCAGAGTATGTTGGCGGCAGGCAGGCCATTCCGCTGGACCGTCAGTCGAAGCCTCATGATGGCGTGTTGAGGCGCATGTGTTCGCGCGTGAAATGCCATGGTCGCGAACTTTTGGAAGGAGCTAGGGCGATGACGATCCCTGCTTTCGAGCCTAACCCTATTTGCTTAGCCCCTTCTCCACTTCTAGATTCACCAGCATGTCACTGCAAACAGCAGGTGTATTACCACCCGCACATGACGCAATCCTCGATTTTGATCTGAGCTATATATCACTAACCTAGGACTACAAGTTCGACATAGTCAATTGCTGTCCGTTCCAATTCAGATTTCGCAAACTGTAACGATGCCTATGATGCCCATTAGTACGCTCAAAGGTTCCTGGAAACGTCTTCTCGACGACGAACGTCTGCGCCGATCTTCCCAGGTCCTTTCCGTTATCGACGATCATGTCTGCATCTTCGGTGGTGAGGTGAAGCCAAGGGAGCCGCTGGATGATAAAGTCGACATTTTCTCGCTCAAGTCTGGTATTACTTCCCCTCTTTGTAAGAGGCCATCAAGGTACAGCACTAACGACGCCACAGATGCAAAGCGTTTGGAAACGAAGAGTGTCTCTTCGGCGCCCAATCCACGCGTTGGAAGTGCATCAGCAGTACTGAATGGGAAAATGTACCTTTTCTCTGGTCGGGGTGGCATCGACATGGCCCCAATAGAGGAAGATGGCGCAGTGTGGTGCTTCGACCCCTCAAGCTCAGCCTGGTCCAAGATCATGCCTGCTGATTCATCCGCGCCATATCCACCAGCTCGCAGTTATCACTGCTCTACTAGTGATGGCAAAGACACCTTCTTCCTCCATGCTGGATGTCCCGCAAGTGGCCGTCTCTCAGATCTGTGGATGTTCAACATCAACGAACGTAAATGGAAACAAGCCCCCGACGCTCCGGCGCCACATCGAGGAGGAACTTCTATCGCTTACAGTGGTGGCAAGCTTTACAGGATGAATGGATTTGATGGAACCACGGAGCAGGGTGGTAGTATCGACGTCTTCGACCTTGCCAACAATACTTGGTCAACTGACACATTCAAAGCGGATGGCAACGATGGACCTGAAGCTCGCAGTGTCTGTGTTCTTCTGCCAGTCAAGCTGGCTCGAAAAGACAAGCTCCTTACACTCTTCGGTGAACATGACCCTTCATCGCTCGGTCATGCCGGTGCAGGCAAGATGTTGAAGGACGTCTGGATCTATGACATCAGCGAGAAGTGGTGGACTCAACTACACCCCGATGGCAGCGATGGTACTCCTGACCCCCGTGGTTGGTTTGATGCTGATGTGGTCAAGGCTGAGAGCGGCAACGACAGCGTCATCATTCATGGTGGGCTTGGTGAGAATAACGAGCGTCTGACCGACATGTGGCAACTTGCCTTCTAGATGTGTACATGACACAAAATGGATACCTTTCGCTGCGTTTGCGGTCACGAATTCTTTTGGCGCTTCAACTTGGTCACCAGTCATGAGTTGCTCATTATAGCACCTACGCCTGAGTACCCAAATCGCAGCTCAGCGACCATGCAAATGCGTTAAGCTAGGAACAGTGTCATATCTAAATTGATTTCCATGGCTCTTGAGTCCAAGGCCCCGGCTGGTGATCGCGTGTCTGCAAGTCTGGGTAGTGCGTTCTGTGCCTATGCTCACACTGGGGAAGGAGTCTTCATCTGGGAAATACCGAAACATAAGAACGCGGCAATTATACTAGCATATCAGCTTCACACGAGGTAGAATGTGCTACTGGATGCATGTCGTTGCTGCTGCTGCTGCTGCTGCCATGAACAAACGTCACCGGGTCAGTACGAGCTCCATGGGTTTCCGAGGAAAAATAGTCGACTGTTTAAATGTATCCGGAAAGCGCTGTCACTGCTTTGTTGCTGCGGAATGAAACCTCAAGGTCGTGATGAGGAGACCCAGTTCGGCACTGTAGATATGAAGAAGCCACCTGAGCTTTGGAACTGAAAGTTGCGCAGTCGCACCTTCCCGATAGTGCGACCGCCACAGTAGGAATCTCAACGTATTCGGTTCCAAATAACCCGGTGCTCACGATAGATGAGCGTTTCTCCCAAGCCCTTTGTCTAATCTGGTTTCCAGTCGGAATGTGGAGGAGAGTGTAGAGTAACCCCCCGTGGTATCTATTCTGCTCGTCTGGGCTAATACACAAATGCTGTTACATACGATGATGCCCTGTACCTAGAATGGAGCTTTGGATACTTGTAGATACGCGACACGAAAATTTCGTTGGTGCGATCACAGTGGGCAGGATGCATGCAGCAATGGCTCAGATGGTTGGTGAGTCAGAGAACCTTGATTCTCCTAGTTTTTCCCCAGCTTTCTGTAGAACAATCAGATCATCTGAAAACAGAAGAATTCGTGAGCATACTTTTAGTGTTGACATGGTTGAATGGTGGTGCTTCTCCATCGGATGCAGTTCGTGTCAAGTACGCGTTTACCTCGGTTACACGACTCTGATGTTTGCACATCGATCCCATCCACATAACAACGCGGTTCGCTGTATCATCTCTGAGCCGCGAAATGGCCAACATGTGCCGAAAGCAAATGATGTGAGATCTCCAGAATCCGTTCAATGTTCGTACGAGCATGCTAGGCTCCGCTCCACATCCCGCTCCCGCCATCCGCCCTTCTCCGCGCGTCATCGCTTCCCCGCACAGCGAACCTTCGGACGAGCCTAAACATGTAGCAAATCGCGCGAAATGCGTCGCGGAAGCTATAAGAGCACATCGCGATTAGACTGCTGTCGTATCTGTGACTGAGGTTGTCAAAATGCATTCCGAAGTCCTTGCTTTCGCAGCTGTCGTAGCAGTTGTCGCGCGCATCCTCTTTCCGTTCTTCAAAAATGTATCTTCACCATTACGAAATGTACCTGGACCAGCCTCAACGCGGTTTACAGACCTGTGGTACCTTTGGAGAGTGAGAAGAGGAGGCTTTGAACAGGACAACATTGAGCTGCATCGAAAGCATGGTGAGTTGAAACCTGCCGGCCTGTTCCTGATCTGTCCCGATACCATACTTACACTACTACCCCAGGCGAAATAGTCCGCTACGGTCCGAATCGATACTCCCTCTCCTCTCTCGATGCCCAGAAGACTGTCTACGGGCATGGCGCCAAATTTCCGAAGTCTTCGTGGTACGCAACCTGGCAGAACCCGTCGCCCTCGCAGTGGTCCCTCTTCGCCGACCAATCTATACCAAGACACAGCGAGAACCGCAGGCAATATCAAAGCGCTTACACCATGTCATCGCTCGTCAGCTACGAGCCGTACGTCGACGAGTGCACAGACCTGTTCAGCCAGCGCCTCCAGGAGGTAGCGAGCGCGGGTGCGTATGCCGACATGGGGCACTGGCTGCAATGCTATGCCTTCGATGTTATTGGATTGATCACATACTCGAAGCGACTGGGATTTTTGGATAGGGGTGAGGATATTCGTGGCGTGATTGCGGCTCTCGAAGATCATCTGTGGTATGCTACCTTTACGGGCATCTTCTCCTGGCTCCACAAATATCTCTTTCCCATCCGAAATTGGCTGGCTGGTCCGACAGGCACTGGGAGAGCGTATGTCATGAAGTTCACGCAAGAGCGCATTGCAGAACACGAGAAGGAGCAGACCAAAGCCATTCCTGTCGATGGCATTGAGGAAGGCAAGACGAGCATGGACTTTCTTTCCAAATTCTTCAAGAAGAATGCAGATGACCCCAAGGCGTTTACAATGTACCATCTCAGCATGGGCTGCGTGTCGAACATGGTCGCTGGTTCAGATACTACAGCAATCAGTCTCTCCGCAATCCTCTACTACCTACTCAAGTTCCCGCAAACATTCGAGACTCTGCGTCAAGAGATCGACGAGCGGAAGCGCGAAGGCAGAATTGGCCACTACATCACATTCAAGGAAAGCCAGGAAATGCCGTATCTTCAAGCCGTCATGAAGGAGGCGCTGCGAATGCACCCAGCTACTGGCCTACCACTCGAGCGCGTGGTACCCGCTGGAGGAGCGAGCATATGTGATCAATTCTTTCCCGAGGGCGTAAGTTGCCGTGCATGTCAAATCGTGTTCTCTAGGCTGACTGCTTGTATAGACTATCGTCGGAATCAACTCCTGGGTGGCTCACCGCAACACATCTGTTTTCGGCCCTGACGCAGACGTGTTCAGACCTGAGCGCTGGCTCAGCTCCGATAAAGAAAAGCTTAGTCTCATGGACCGCAACTGGATGCCGGTAAGTCGTAGCACCCGAATGTCACCTTGCTCGGCTTCTGCCGACCGCTGCATCGTCGTTTCCACAATTGTAACGCCACTCGTTCACCATTGCCTCTTTTGCCATCTCAGCCAGCCTCACCAGATCCTTCATCTCTTTTCTCTCACGAAGGACAGCGGCTAACAAAAGTGGCAACAGTTTGGTCTAGGCTCACGAACGTGCATCGGAAGACATATCTCGCACTTGGAAATGTCCAAGCTAATCCCCATGCTGGTGCGCGACTTTGATTTTTCGCTCGCCCCCCACCTGCAGGCTGCAGATTGGGAAACGACAAATTACTGGTTCGTCAAGCCGAGGGATTTCCAAGTCAAGGTAATGGTAAGGCGACAGGGCCTCTGATGTTGAGGAACGTATCGCAGCAGCGACGGCCCGTCGGGTAGCTGAGTACCCGGTTCTGGGTGCGACTGTGATTGTCGGTTGCTATACTTGGAATGACAGATAGAGTAGTTGAGCAATCGAGGACGAGATTGACATGGTAACGTGCAGTAGCGGAGTGGAACTGCAAGGTATCATAGGCCCGATGTGAGCTGGCAGATAACAGCCCAATCGCAAAGTAAAAAGTACTTACCCTGTTGCTGCAACTGCTAGGGCTAGCGAGCATCGCAATGCATAGACGAAGTATTGTATATTGTGCGAAGCCTTGGTGGCGCTCCGAGTTGCAATCTACACCTTCTGGAATACCGTGGCGCCCAGCCGAAGCCTCCGCGGATTGTGCCGTCCCACGTTGTCCTCAGCCCGCCTCATCATGGGTTCTGGCTTGCAGTATGCAAGGCGATGGAGCAGACAAGTTGCCACCGGCAAATCCCTCGCGTGGCTGCCTAGCAAGGCTGTTGCCGCGGTTGATGAGCGACAAGAAAAAACCTGAAAGTAGGGAGATTGGTGTTGGAGACCAGAGTGGATGATGCCTTGATTGTAAGCACACCATGATGTTGGAATATGCACGAGAGATGAGAGGGTGTTGGCTAGTCGCTGCCCCTCCTCTGCGGCATGTAGTCCAAGTAGGCAACCCCTCTTGCATCATACCTGTGATGAACCATGGGTGAATCGCGGTACCCTAGCCACGCCCCTGATCCCACGCCTGCGGACTTGGAAGTTCGGAAAAGCAAACAAAACCTCCTGCGGTGACTGAAACGGCCAACCCCAGAAGGTCCCAAAAAAGTAAACACCCTCCCAGTTGCCAACTTACCTGGGTACCGGCCTGCCAACTGTGGGACAAGTGGGACGAGACAATCAAAATCGGGATGATGCGGCGCAGTTCGTGCGCTCCCGTGTACAGATAAGCGGAAGCGCCTCCGCCGGTGAGCCCCTGCAGCAACTTAAACAGGTGGGAGTCGTGCTCGCGCCCAAGGCCTCTGATTCGCCGGCATTAGCGTTGCGACTACTGCATTTGGATTATGAGACTGAGTCGCAGGCTAAGTCGTGTGGAGATTAGTGCGAATGTTCAACAGAAAGTTTATCGCGCTTTGGCATCGACACCGTACGTGATTTTCTCAGGGGTGCGATGCATAGCTGCGCAAAGGCGAGAACGGGCGATGGACATGGAGATGCGCGGGGGTGCATTGTTTGCGTGTTCGCTGGGTCAGGGAAGGAAGGTGAGACACGAGTGCTGACGCGACATGCAAGTGATGGACGCGAAGCTGCGAGTGTCTTCGATGCGAGGCTGGAGTGGATGCTTCGCGAGGCTTGTGGGACCATGATTGCGGATACGAGATGCGTCGTACATACGGCGATTATGCACGACGGTGAATTCGTTCATGTCGTGTCGCTGGACGCCTGTCGCTAGGCTGTCAACTTCCGCTGCACGTAAGCTGCATGGGAATGGTGTGATTGCATGGAAGCGATTGGTGAGAAAAAAATCTATTAGATACTACAGTATTGTTTTGTCCTTATCTGTAAAATGTTCGATGCGGACGTTTGATGCCCAAGACGCCTCGGCGCCTCTACCATGCCAGGGAGGAAAAGAAATGGGAAACGTTCATCTAATGTGCCCTTGTGCCCTGACTGACGTTGTGAAAAAGAAATGTGATACGTCCGTGATCGTGAACCCGGTTTATAGTGCGAGGTGGACCCGTGGGGTTATCGGATAGAAAAAGGAAGGAGCGTTCGGCAGTCAGACCCTGGTGGTCTAGCACTTGCCGGCCTGCCACATCTTGACAGACTTGACAGTCATGCCGCGCTCGGTGCCCTCGCCCCAGGTTGGGAGCCAGTCATCCTTGGCTATTGCAGAGTTAGCATAGTGATCATAGTGTTGCGAAGTGGGTGTGAACATACCATTCCAGAAGTCACGGACAGCAAAGTCACTGCCATCAACCCAGGGCTTGTTACCCTCGCCGTCAAAGAACCATCCGTTTTGCGCACCGACGGCGACGTTGAGAATGAGGTAGAACTTCTCGTCGAAAGGCGCGTTCTTACCGCCTTGCTTCCAGGGGTCCTCGAAGAGAGTGCCGTTGCTGGTGGTCAGACCGTTGAAGCCACCCTTGTTCCACAGCTTGTTCTTCTCATTGAACTTGAAGTACATGACCTGCTTGAGACGGCTGTCGAGGTACAACATGAGGTAGTTCTCAGTCCATTCCATACCGAAAGTGTGCCAGCTGGAGGCGAAGTCTGTGCGGCGGAAGAAGGCGGTACCGTGGGTGTTGATGTAGCCGTCGTGCTTGTAGTCAGGACCCCAGTGAAGCGTAGAGGAAACGAAGTCGCGACCCTCGGGGTACTTGTACGAGTTGCCGCGGAACTCAGCAATGTCGATTTCTCCGCTGCGAGGCCATTCACCGTACTTGTCCTCTTCGGGCATCATCCAGATGGCGGGCCAGAGCCAGTCACCCTTGGCTGTCTTTGCCACAACCTCGACGCGGCCGTACTTGATCGACTTCTTGCCCTTGGTGGTCATGCGTGCGGATCGAACAGGAGGAATGATAGTTCCAGTGGTCGAGTTGGAGCGGATACCGCAAGACTTGTAGTCGCTGGATGTGCAAGAGCCATCGCCGTCTGCCTTGGTGATGTTCAGTGTGTAGCCATTGACGATCTGCTCCTCGGTAATACTGGTCGATTCGGTGGTGAGGGTTGGGACAATGTGTAGACCTTCTGCGTCGACGAAGCTGTTCTTGGGGTCGTTGGTAGTCCAGTCAAACTCTCCGTTTCCGTAGCCGCCAGTCTGGATCTCGTAGCCCCAGTTGGCGGGGTCAATCTTCTCAAAGTTGTCTTCCATGATAAGACATTGCTCAGGTATTTGGGCCTCTTGCACACCAGTGTACATGATGTATCCACTGACACAGAAGCCGATGATGATGAAGCCAAGGGTGATCCAGTTGCCGACCTTGGTCTTCTTCATCCTTGGGTCGTCGACCCATGGCTGCTCACGCCTAACATGGAAATTAGATACAAGTTGACAGCGGGTGGAATGGGTAGTACATACTCTCCCCGTAGCCTGTAGCTTCTGAAGGGTCGCGGTTGTTTCCGTATTTCGGAAGCGCTGATCTGGCTCCCATATATAGGACCGAATGACAGGTTGGAAGGGTTTCTGGGAATGTATGCTCCCTGGTTAGAGGACTCGGGACGCATCCTTTGTGACATGCCGGCAGGAAGGTCTGGGACATCTTGGGAGTGGGCCTGAGGCGGTGCGTCCTCCTCAGGGCTGGCCTTCTTGTTGCGCTTGAAGAAGGAAGGCATTGTCGTACTGTAGAATGAAGGTATCAAAAGCGGAATAGAAATTCCAAAGTATTAGCGATGGGCAAGGTAGTTAATTGCCGTACGCGACCTCGTCTAAGGAGATTAGAAGAGTACACAAAACAACGCAGGGGACGTTGTTGGGAGCTGAAGTATCGATACCACAAGCCGAGCGAGCGCCGCGCTGAGTATGCGGCACCGATAAATCGATAGTAGGCTTAAGCGGCGTCGGGAAGAGCGAGGTTCACGGATTCCAAAAGCCTAGATTTAGAACATTCAACACACTCTAGGCGTATCTGCCGTTCTCGACGTGATGGCTTCTGCAAGTGCAAGGGGCGGGCAGTGCCCATGGCAGTTTCATCCCAGTCGCTTGTTACGGTCTTGGAAATAGTGCACAGTAGCGTGGCTGTTTCTAGCGTTCGTTTAGACGCAGGTACGTCAGGAAAGATGAGATAGGCGCAGAACTAGTGTGACAGCCTTGCAGTCAACGTGCCAGGGGGTAAAGCCACACACCGCTAAGGATACGGAAGGATTTGACCGGCCGGTGCTAGGCTTGTGCTTGAGGCTTGACGTTGGAGAGTTGACTTGGATCTCGGGCGCCACGGCACATCAATCCATGGTTCATGTTTTGTCTAGCGCCCGGTCGATCGCTTTTCAAAACCCGCGCGATCTACACTTGGGTTTTCCACGCTTGTACCCAGAAAAGTTTGGACCTGTAGATGCGCCTCCGTAGCCCTTGATGCAGCCATCTATGCATTGGCGGGTCAGCCTAGACGCGGCTTGCCAGTATGCAAGCTTCTGATGTTGTATTCTCCCCTCCGTATCTGCACGTTGGTGGCTAAATCCTGCACCTCGGCTTGCTGACCAGAAGCTGTTGATTGACTTATCGGCGAGCCGGCTAAACGCACTAACCACGACGGGTGTCGCATATCTAGTAGCTTCGCTGTTGTTATCGAACTCTGTTGACTAGCAACTGTGCTGACTCAAATTAACCCAGCTGGGCATCGCGTCATGCAAAGTTAAAGAGTTGAGGCAGAAAATCTGTGACGTGTGGCTGATGGTGGCGAGCTGCTTTGTGTGTTGTTCGATATGTAGACGGGGGTACAGGATCAATAGAGGCGGAACAAAGTCCTAATCTTAACCACGGGAGAGTCAGCAAGGGTGCTTATCAAGGGCAACATGCAGTAAGCTGCGCATTGATCATTGGCTTGTTTGCGACGTGGGATTCATCCGCTCCCGGAACGTGGGCATCCTGTAAAAGCAATTTGCAGGGTCTTGTCCCCCTTCTGAGCATGTATACCGCTCGCCCAGAGGTTGTCGGGATGGCGCACGCGTGGGCCAGGACCTCATCTTGGCTTGCAGGACGTCACTGTATTTGCGGCGTAGGGTGCCGGCAAGACTGAGCGGTCCAGCGCTCCAGATGCCCGGTTCGGCGCTGAGCTAGGCGGCCAGCTGTCTCCACTTCCGACCTGACTCTTAATCGCAACGTAGGAGGCTGGCTGGACAGGTCCGCTACGTGACGCCGAGGAGCTGACCGAACGTCGAGAAAAGTAAATTCTCCTCCGGCGGAACGTCAAAAAGTGGTGGCGCACGCCCAGTATAGCAGCGGCTAGGCTAAACCGTTCCACTTAGCTCAGGCACAAGCGTGGGCGTGCAAGGTACCCGAATGCGACAAA